AAAAAACGAGTCGCAAAGAATAAAAAATACGTGCTATTTACCTACAAAAATGTACAGACGCTCTTCGTTTCAAACAATTCGAACAATTGTCACAAATGAGTACACGATATCTCTTAACAATAATGTTTTAGCATTATATATGTTCATTTTATATATTCACATCTTAAATGTGAAAGAAAAAAATTTATATATCTTTATCAAAAATTCTCTTATAAAAAATGTTAATATTACTAAACATCATTAATATTATAATATTAACGCTCTTAAATATAAAACAAAAAGAATCTTAAAAGTCAATATAAGAGCTAAAGAATCGTTACTATCATAAAATATTACATATGTTTATTAGTCTGTATCATCCGAAGATTAGGTTGAATATAAATATTACTACTTCGAGAAAATATGCTGTTCGTTATGTGCCAAACATCGATATTAACGACAAAAACCTGATCGCTTTAATTCTTATTTTATTGTTATAACTTACTATTTCTCAATGTTTTATTGTATAACTATAATTTTCTCATGATTTTTATATTGTTATTTTATGTAAATTGAATATATTGATAAAGATTGCTGTGACAGTCGAAACGTTTACTTGACTAATTAGTTGAAGAAACATATGTAATATTTTATGTATAATAATAACTATTCTTTAGCTCTTGTATTGGCCTTTTAAGATTCTTTTTGATCATTAATATTATTTAATAATACATGACATCTCATAGAATCATTAGATTATAAATTATATAAATTTGATATTGTTAAAAAAATTACAATCCAATATACGGAAGTAAATATCAACGCGATTTCCGCGACTTACGTATATATATATATATATATGTACGTATTAATAACCGTACATATGAATAATAATATCTTCTTGACGCATGGCGGATTTATGTCAAAGTTGTGATGCAAATCACGTCTAATTGCAGGGTATTTTTTAAAAAAGCGCAACTTCTCGATAACTCGGCTACTGCCTACAAATTACTGACGTCCCCTCTCTTTTCTCCCTACAGATCAAACGGAAGAAAGAGATCCTCGCGTGGTCGTCCATCATCGTTAGCATTTCATTCAGTGACAGTCGGTCGACCAACGGCTGCCGTTGAACTATGAAAGCTGTGTAAACTCGCCGAACAAACAAACGTTTTATGGCCGTTCAATAGCGCCATCGTCTGCGTAATGTCGTGACGCATACATTTCCTAACGCGTAAGATAAAGTGCACATATTTTACGAAGCAACGGCTGCATTTTTCATTCTCTAACGAAAAATCGATATCGACGGTCTTCATCAGGGTAGCACTGCCTGTCCTCTCTCTCTCTGCCTCCAATATAATCCAATACTCTTCTACAAGAAAGGTTTTCCAGCAGCTCTGGTTATAGTATCTACATATATTCATATATTGATGCGCCAACATAACACCGCTATACGAGAGAGATTCCAAGAATGTAATAACAAAATATTGCATAATCACGACTGGTTAAATAAAAAAAAATAGGTCTCCTAACTGTATATAAATTTAAAATAAAAGAAATGCATGAAAAAATTTAAAATTAAAAAATAAACTGACAATTCAGTAAGAGAGCTAAATTTGTAATTCTGCGTAAATGTTCAAAATATTTATTTCTTATATTATGCATTAATTTTTCATTCGAATTTTCTCTTTATTTTTTTTTTCCGTAGCAAAAACTCAGCGAGTGACCGTAAATTTCTGTTTTACTGCTTCACGTATCGGCTCACTTATCAAAGTAGGTACGCTCGTAGTGTCAAAATAGATAGAAAATGCTCGGCCAATATTTGCTATGACGCTTTGACTGTCGTTCGCTTGTGCCGGCGGCATTTTCGCGAATCGATTCGTCTCTCGATCGGTGAAAGAAGAGGGAAGGGGGTTTCCGTATTCTACGGAGAATTTTACCGGAAGCGATGTACAATTGTCGCGACGACGTCGTGAGACGTGCTGGTAAGGGAAGAAGAGAACGAAAACGCGGTAGACGTTCGCGGTGGCGACGACACGGAAGGTGAATTTGGGGATCACGAGAGCGAGAAAGAGAGAGAGAGAGCGGTTGAGTGAAAAATGAAGGTACGAAAGCACGCGGGGGTGAATCGCACGGCAACGTGGCTTGACGCATTGCGGCTGGGAAATATGGGTCGTTCCGATTATGTCGGGAGAGAAGAGAGCACCGCGGCCGGAATCTGACAGTGGCAGAGTGACGCCACGCGAAACCTCATACATCTCGTGTATAACTAATGTCCGCATATATCATCTCTTCGTCTCTCCCGCGTATGTGTATTTTCTATCTTTTTTCCTCCCCCTTCATCCCCCTTTTTCATCTCGCGAAACAAAATGTATGCCGCGCGTGTATATATATATATATATATATATATATGCGCTCCTTCGTTCGAGCGGGATGGATACTACTCTGCCTCCTGTTTCATTTGAATACGATGCGGAAAACGCGCGCGGAGATTTTTCACGAAAGATAGGACGCGTGCGAGATGATGCATTACCTTCGATCTGCCGCGTTATTTCTTCCTCAAGCGCGCGCGTTGCATCCTCGTTTGAAAATCGTTTCCTCTGATTTGCAAATTAGTCCTCTCCATAGGCGATATCTATATAGATAACTCGGTTCGAAGCGATTTCTTTGGAAATTTATGTCGATCTCACGAGGTGTATTGAAATTTAAGTATATATTAAAATTTTCTATCTATTTTTCTAAATTACTTTATTGCTTATATAATTTATTATTCATCGCGTAACAATGGGAAATAAAAATAACACATCAACATCTCTGTTCAAGAAGAATTTTATTGAACATTTGTTGTTTACTTTGAAATATTTGATTAATATGTGATGGATGTCTGTTTGATTTTATTACCGTATAATTTCATAATTTATCTTGCGAATTGTGACAAATAAATTTTTCAGTGTCACACATTTTAATTAGAATTGATGTAACAAATCATGAATAATGAGTGAATGGATCGACTAAAACGAATATATAATATATACAGCGCTCAATTTGACATCCGTTTGACATCTTTTCCTTGTAGGTGGTCCGGAGTAACGGAGGGAGAAAAATTAAAGAACGTTCGGAGTGTCTCGCTCGTTAGTCAAACCGCTTCAACCTGCAGCAGCAGCAGCAATAGCTAATTGGTATTCGACTGGAATAGCCAGGTCTCCGACGGGTCTGGAAGTAGCTGTACGGTCTCGAGAGCTGTGCGTTTACACTGCGGACAGAGTCAGCAGGCCCGAAACGTCCTGAACAATACAAACCAGTTGAAGTGTCCGAATCCTTCTCACGTTCGGGTCCACAAACCCGTTCCGAGATTTTCACAAATAACTAACCGACCGACCGCGCGATATCGACGCTATTATTCCGTCGCCATCCCGAGAGTCCTTCGTGTCTTTTAATCGACGCAAAATGTCGTTCCCTCCGACGTTTCTCTCTAGGTTTCGAGTGCACTTTCCGCTTTTTTTACCCGCATTTTTCCTCTCTCTCTTTCTCTCTTTTTCTCTAGATTTCCTTTTTTTCTCCACTTGTCTCGGATGCCGCGACGTATCCATTTTTATCGGTATGCGCGAGAAGCTTTGCATTTTCTCGAGTGGATTCGCCGGCACCCTTCTCTCTCGACCTGCCATATTCCTCCAGCACAGGTACGCAGCGCGAGCATTCACCCCGGGCACGAATGCAGATGTGCGCTGGGCCGAATAAGCCCAGAAGAGACGCAAGGATGATGGCAACTCGTGCGTCTCCAAGCTTCGTCGTCGTCCTCGTCCTCGTCGTCGTGAGATCTGCTGCGGCAACCACTTCCGTTCCGCACGCTTCTCGTTTCTACGAACGTTTCGTCACGCTTGTCACATGCTTACCACACGAAAGAGAAACCGCGGTCTGGTAAAAATATTGTGATGACCGGTGCGGGGTCGTTATATTGTCCACCGAATGTTTTGCGTTCGCCGATTGCCCATCGAATGTGTGCAGAAACCGTGTGCGGTTTTGCACCGCGAGAAAAAAATACGACATCACGTGCGGTGATGTTGCGTTAAAAATCTCGGTTGCTGATGCTGCGTGAATGAAAGTATTATTGTATGAAAATCGAATGCGAGATAAAGAGTTGAGGGTCAAAGTGTGCTTTTTGCTACGCTCATTCGTATATAGATTGTTTTATAATAAGCGTGTTACATAAAACTCGAGTTATTGCGGCGTCATAGGTTGACCCACATAAACTCATTATCTCGAAATATCCGATCAGATTTGAATATGGATTGGTTCTATTTGAAATTTAAGAAGAGAAAAGGAGGATTCTTTAAATATAAAATGTTTTACAAATTTAGCCAATATTAAAGAAGTGACACATAGATCAATTGCAACGTCGATTATTTATATGACGAATATGTATTTATAGTTATATTATCTATGTTCAATAAATAGATACATTTTTATTACATATACAATCTGCGATAATTATGCACTAATATGCGAATTTTTGATATGCATGGAATGAGATATCAATGATACATAATATATAATATTCATCTTTAAAACTAGCTGGATGATTACGTATAATTATTATTTTATAATTTTTCTCTCCTTTTTTATCGTTACATTTTATTATATAAAACTATTTATTTTTTAAGAGTGAATTATTATATTTTTATATATTCGCAGCAAAAATCATAAACATGTTTAAAATATTCAATAATAATTTTCTTCAAATATTTAAAAAACTTCGCTGTTGTCAAAAATCATTCAAACCCATGGCTGTGTCAAAATAAAGTGTATATAGATTTACGTAAGAAACTCGTTTGTTTTTTTTGAACGACATCTGATATGAACAATGCACAATGCACATAATGAACGGGAAGATAATTCTTCGCGCGCGGCAATTATTATCGCAATCTACCTAGTTTATCTCGATTCGGTGAACGGAAAAGGATGACGCGTGCGTGTTGAGTATAATTCGGTGGGCGTTACAGATATGTCTGGATATCCGTTAGTAGACTGTTGTCGTGATCGGCGGGAGGTCGTCCCAGGATGCGCTCCGGGACGTTTCTCATCCCTGTCTGGACACGGGCTCACTGGGGAGATCCCATTATCCTCAGCCCGTAAACATTAAGCGCGGCGTCTCTCGCCGACTGATATCTCTTAAGAATGTACCGTATACCGTGTCGCAACAAGAGGAAGGGACTTGAGAGCCCCGGTGCCCCGGCTACTCATCGTGATAGCAAGCGAAACATTCACGTTGGATATCACGCGAGTAAGACCTTGCCGTCGAAACTGGTAGCGGAGAGACGAAACATCGTCGACGTTTGTGTAATCAAAATAGAGGCACACTCGGCTTTAATTATCGCGCAAGTAACGGCGTGTGAATATACAGACATACCATTATCGTCGAAACCGGTTTGTTAGAGAAGTGGTGTCTGTGTGTTGTTGTCTCGTCGGAATTCCATTCCATTTTCAACGGACGAAAAAAATCGTCGAGCGACCTCGCAGGATCACCTTGAAAATAAACTAGTTATAGTTATATGTGTAAGTATGTTAAACTGCTAATATTTTCATCAATTATTTATTATTTTATTTCACATTCATTGTTATTCATTACAAATTAGTTAGATGTTATTTTTTGTTATTTTTATTTATAATTTCATTATACAGTGCAGTAGTATAATACACACAGTTTCTTTAGCAACAAGGTCGGTAGCTTATTTGTTGAAATTTTTATGATTAAGCGCACAATTTTGTAAAATCTATTGCAACATAATGCATTTGAAATATGCAGCAACAGATGCAAAAGACACGTTGCTTAAATCATTCACATTTACATCATAATGACATGGCAAATACAAAGCGGTCTTGTTCTGTATTATGGAACCACTACCACTCATGGTTCGAATTACTGAAAGTTAAAACGCGTTCGTTTCCATAATCTAGTTTAGTAACTGCGTGACCGTCGGTCAATTCGTGTCGAACTTCCTTTTGTAGCACAGCTCACGCGTTCCGTTATATCAGTCTGGTATGTTTAGTTAAGTCTGGTACCACGCCTGCACGCGTCAGTCCAAGAATTCTCCTTGTCCGCCTTTTATCATTTCTCTATCACTGTGATGGCTTTATCTACTGTACATATTCTATTTACGTCTCCCGCGTTTTTTTATATAGAGTGTCTCGAAATTAATGACTTATCCAATCTGATTTTTTCTGAATTTAAAGAAGACTTTTAGCTGAAATATTTCATCTCGATAGATTTTTGATTTGTAAATTAATCAATTTTTTTTACGCTAAAAGAAAAATTAATTTTGTAATTTTAACGGCGATAATTTTGAAATACCGTGTAAATATCGAGCAAATGTTTTAAACATATCAGTTTTATAAATCGAAATTTGAATATTGATAAGATGCAAAAAGTGTAAAAAAATTTGTATTTTGCGGTATCATTGCATTTTTAAATTCTTAACAAATATTGCATCATTCATAGAGATTATTAGATTATATATTGTACAAAAAATTTAGGTAAGAACATTGTCTCGCAAACAAATATATTTATTAAAGATACGACATTAAAATTAAAAAATGTCATACATTGCTCAAGTATGATAAACATAATTATTAAACTGATAATGTTTATTATATACATATAGTATATAGTTACGTAATGAATATGAAAGGAATATTCATAGAACATCTGCCTTTTATATGAAACGTCACTTAATGAAAAAAAATTTTTTTGTTCCGCGTAGCAACATTGTAGCCTTTAATATATGCACGTAACTGTTATCGTCAGTATGTATTTATCAGAATTGTATATGTAAGGTCGTAAAGCATCGAACTATTGACTTTGCGAATGGGTGGCAGTCTTCGCTCTCGCTGCAGCTTGTAATCTCGCATCGATAGTAGTATAACTCGTCGGGTCGGCTTATACAAGTCTAAAAAATATTCGTGGAGGAGGAATCTGAGTGTAGATTTCACATGGGTGCCGTCTCTTCGTCAGTGATATACTTCGATAGTCGCCATCGAGCTGTTGAATGTGCGAGCGTAGTCGCGTGAAATTCTGAGCTGGTGAACGTGTCGATATACGAAAACAAACGACACGAATACAGCGACACTGGCGTAGCGATTTGAAATGTGATGGTCATCAATGTCATCGACTCATTAACCGAGGTCACATTCAATATTCAGAACGATGGGTAAGGAAAAAAATATTTTCCATTTTATTAATATCTACTCTACTCTATGCTACGAAATTTTGCAAGCAATCATTTTTTATCTCTTGAGTGTGTTATCTCGAATATGCAGTATAAAAGAAATTTGTTTATTTATCTGTTTTACACTTAAATGCTAAATCATTGCTTTCCACTCGTATTATCATTTATCTTGAATGTTCAATGATGCGTGTATTTCTCCGAAATATTGATAATATAAACGTGTATAATAATTTTGAAATTTATAGATATAAAAATTAATTTTTAGTATAGTATTATTTGGAAAAATTATTAATTATTTGTATGTGAATCTATAAATAAATTCATATTTTATATACAGGCATATATGCGTGTTATATTATTTTCTATTACATTTTGTGAGTTAGAATTGTTAGGTTAATACAGTTTAAACAGATAAACTGTTCTATTTTTATACATTATGTTATTTTATATATCTATAACTATAAGAGCTTCTAATAATTTATTTAAATAATATCTGCTCACGTGTTGTGTAATATATATTATATATATATATGTATATAATTGCATTGCAAAATGAGTAGAATAATTTATATTGTTATTCATAATATTATAATATTATATAATTTTCAAATTAATATATAAATTATTTTAAAATAGATGGCAAAATACCCTTTCAGAAAATTATTGTTACTAATATCCTAAAAATAATTTTTGTTAAAATTCGAATATATATTTAAAATCTTGATTAATCGTAAGATGTTTATTAGACGTAACATGTTATTACTATATCTGCACGCTCAATGTTAACACTATCTCTTACAATGATAATTTTAGAGATTCGCGTACGATATTTGTTCGCTATAATGCTATGCATTGCGAACATGATTATTTACGGTTTAAAAGTGAATATCGCGACGGCTATTATCGGCATGGTGAAGAAAAAACCTGGCGTACCAGATTGGTCGGATGAATGTCCAGAATTTGAAGCTCCCGGAGAAGTCACCGATATTGACGGTCCATTTGACTGGACGTCAAGTGAGCAAGGTCTGGTCATTAGCATATATTTTGCTGGATATCTTATCGGTATGTTTCCGTCGGGATATTTGGCTGATCGGTAAGTGCTTCTGGAGAGAGAATTTAATTATATATTTTTTTCTAATTATATTTTTTTTTATGTAAATAGATTTTGTGTTTTGTAATATTGCACAATATTTCTAATTGTATATAAAATTTAAAAAAAATTGATATTATTTACATAAAGTATAAATATATGGTCTCCAATTTTAACTCTAATTTTAACTCTAACAACTATATATTATTTTTCGGTGCATAGATTCGACACCAAGATCGTCTTGCTATTGTGCGTGTTCGCGAACGGGGTCTTAACGATATTGGTACCGGTTATTGCGAGCTCACTGTACGTACTGTACGCTGTGAGATTTTTAACCGGTCTTGTGAGCGCGGCGAATCTCCCTATAGTGAATGTTCTTCTGGGAACATGGGTTGTGTACGAGGAGAAAAGCACGTGGGTCGGTATCATATACGCCGGCACGTCGCTCGGCACCGTGATATCTATTCTTACCTCAGGAATGATATTAAATTACGTGGGCTGGGAAGCTATTTTTTATATCCACGGATCGTTGCCCTTGATTTGGTGCGTTGTCTTTTATATATTTTTCGCCGGTTGCCCGGAAGAGCAAAAGTACATCACAGAGCAGGAGAGATCATTAATTGTGAGCTCGTACGGTCATCGAACGCCTAATTCCGCGAAGATGAAAATCCCGTGGAAGAGTATATTCACGTCGGTGCCATTTTTAGCATTAATCGCCACCAATACTCTGGGGAATTTCTGCTGGTATTTCTTACTCACCCAGTTACCGCTTTACATGAGCAAGATTTTACGATACAAAATCTCATCGGTAAGTATACAATGAAAATAAGAATTTGTTTTTATTTTATACAAATATAAATTATTGATTAAAAATGTTAAATTTTCTCTCGTTATTATATTAATATAAAATTATTATATAAAGATGGAAAATTATATATTTTATAATATATATATATATATATATATATATATATATATATATTGCATTACAGTATTAATTTTATTCTGTAGACTTTTATGCACACAATTTATAGTTATAAAGTATAAATCACATTGTGTAAATATTTTTAATCTGTTTTTTAGAATGCCGCTATTGTCTGTACACCATATCTCATAAATGCTTTCACTAATCCACTAATTGGAAGAGTTTTAGATTGGGGACGAAAAAAGGGATATTGGTCACAGACGGTTGCTCGTAAAATTGCTGTATTCATAAGTACGTATTTCAAATGGACTTTATTATATGTATAAAAAATAGATACTTGTCTTTTATTCAAAATAAAAAGGGAACAAATTAAATAATTTTATGGAATAAAATTATAATAAAATTATAATTAAATTTCGTCAAATAAAAAGAATACATTCATCTCAAAATTATTATAACTTTTGATAATATATATTAGAATGTCTATAAAAATAAAATGGTTAATCTTTTAATAAATATAAAATAATTTTTATATTGCTTTTTTTTTAATTGATTATTTATAATAATGATAGGATATAATATTAAAAAGACACAATATTAAAAATCTGTCTTTCTTATTTTTTTGGCACCAGTAGTTGTGCCGAATATGATAATGACACAATTTAAACTTGAACATATACATGTAATTTACATATTAATGAAATAAAGATGAGATATTGTTTGCAAATTTTCTGCATAATTCGCGCAATTGGCCGATGTAGAATGTAGCGTACGTTGTAATTCTTTTATTAGTGTGGCATTGTAATTATTTTATTGCTATCTCTAATAACATTGTTAAAAATCGGATTATGTAATGTTTACATCAAATCAGAGCACATTGCAATAACAGCACATCTTGTTGATTTCTACATTTATATATCATATATTTAAAAAAATATATTTTACGTTAACGCAATTTATTATAGTTGTATACATAATAAAGACGCTAATTATATTTAATCTACATCATATCTAATATATCTAAAATATTTCTTTTTCTTCTAGGCGCCATACCACCTAGCATTTTTCTAGTTATAATTGCGTACATTGGCTGCGATCGCGTATCATCAACTGTGTTGCTAACTTTGAGCATAGTAGTCTGTGGTGCTATATTCGTCGGTCACCTCTGTAATCAGAACGACCTGGCCCCGAATTATGCAGGAATTCTCATGGGCATTACAAATACCCCAGGCACCATCTCTGCCTTTATCCTACCACCGATAGTCGGGGCTCTCGTAGCGGAAGGAGTGAGTGAACATTATTAACGCCACTTGTAGAATAGTATTAACGCGATTAAGAATTGTCAGGCTAAGAACAGCGTGACATAATCGCCGATTTCTTGAATCTTTAATAAGTTATCCTCGCGTTATTCCACTTTTCTGAAGTTTTACAGAAAGTGGAACGGCCGATAAGAAAGTTAAGTTGACATTTTCTTCGAGAGACATTGAATCCTAATTGCACAATCAACTGCAAACTCAACTTTATTGTAACATTAAGAAATAGAAAATGAGATTTATAATATAATGTTACATTATTTGCTTTTTATCGTAAAGTAATTTTCAAAGTAATTTCAAATGTTGCCAAGTAATCATCAAAGTAATTTTCAGAAAAAATCCTGATAATTAAATTTTGCAACACGTATACGTGTATTATAAAATTTATATTTTATTTATTCAATTGTTTTTATTATTATTTTATTTATTTATTTTTGTTTATTTTTTATGATTAGTATTGCATTATACAATATACAATATAACATGTATATACAATTATTTACGTTTTTTCTTATGTCAGCATACCATGGCGCGTTGGAGAGTTGCGTTTTGGATTACCATTGTTTCCCAGATTATGGCTTTTGTAATATTTGCGATTTTTGGATCCGCCAAAATCCAATCGTGGAATTATCCAGTGCCAGATGTTGAAAATTGGGACGTCGACGAAGGACAACAGCAACAACAACAAGAACAGCAACAAGAAACAAAGACTTAAATTGAGACTATTTTCACATGTGTAGTATCTCCTTGTTAAATAATCCAAAAACAATTTTCACAAGAAAATTTATCTTGTTTGTTGCACAAACAAAAAAATTTTGCAATTTAAACATATTATGCAAGTATGTTGTGAACTAATTTGTTATAAAAATTACCTATGTTAAGAATTTTTCGATTTTGATATATGTTGACTTATACATTTACATATATAAATTTTTTGATATCTCAATGTAACATTGCCAATCATTTTTGATAATTTTATTGAGATTAATTAACAGATCTATATGTAATTATTAATGTTTAAATGTTATAAATATCTTTAATTATCTACATATTGATAATATCTTGTACACTATTTTTTTCATCAAATTATCTAGCTTTATTGAAAATATAAGCTCTTTACAAGATATTATTAATGTCAAAGTTTTAGTTGCCTTATACGGGCAATATTTTTTATTATTTTGTTGTCATTGTAAAAGAAACTTCATATATAACCACATTCCTTATTTCTACGATTATTTCCACTAATTTAAATGTTTAATTTGTAAAAAAATAAAAAATCAAATTTTATATTTAAACAGAAAATAAAATGACAAATGATATTTGATATAAATGAATCGTTTTATTACATTACAAATTCGGCGATATTTCAAAGTTCACGAGAGATTTAAGAACGTCTCGACGTGTCAAGGTTTACGCACTGATAATTAGAGTCGCGACACCACTCTTAATGATGGGCGACCAATTTAAGAGACTATACTTGTCACAAAAATTCTTATTTCAATTAGATGTTGCAACCCTGCCAGTCGCGGCGCGAGACGAAACGGCAGGGAAAAAGGATGAAAGAGCACCAAAGGTTTACATCGCACCGGCAACTGGGGATATATTTACGACGCTTGAAATATTACGTGTGTAATCTATTTCCAGCCTATAGCCGTGTTCGCACTTGGACGATGGCCGTGACGAGAAGCGAGTGGTAACCATTTCGTTCTCGCCGCGCGCTAAAAGTCATTTCCTCCATCTTTTTAAATATTACCAACGCGAGATAGAAGACTTGCGGTTCTGAACGAGGGAATTGAGACTTTTCTATATCTTTGATAATTTTTTGAAAATTTTATTGAACGGAAAGATCGAAAAAGACGGGATATATACGAACTTATTGCACAATACTTGCGTTTGACGTTCTATTTTTAATCAAGAAACTATATCGCTCAGCATCCCTTGGAAAGTTTAAGACTTTTTCTCACCACGATTATTTTTTTCCTGAAAGATTTTAATTGATTTCTTTGTAAGTTTTTATTAACAAAAAATGTATCGCACTCAAGTATTTCTCGAGATCTCTAAAGATTATTCTTATGATGATATTATTAGTAAAATTTTAATTAATTAATTTAAAAATTAATTGGTGCAATTTCTGATGACGAGGCAAGCATGAAAGACAAGGGAATCTCGTTTGGACTTAATATTCTAGTAAGCTTCCTTGTAGGGATGCACCGATGCGCGCGAGCCAGAGCTTCTCCTCATCGTGTTTACTAATTCATGAGATGAATAACTTAAGGATAAGCATTCACGCGGTATGAATAATGCTTATTCGTCTTCTTAACCCCTTGAGCAGGTGACCCGTTCCTTCCGTTTATGTATATGCGCGATCCAAACCTGGCCGGGCGATCCATCGTTCGATCACTATACTTTCGACGTGGGAAAACACCTGCCGCTGTCTATCATAGCTTAATGCCGCGCGTTGACCGATCAAGATTTGTGCTCAGACTAACATTCCGCTCGAAACTTACGATTAATACCTGTCAATAAATATCTGATGGTATATAATCCGAGGCACGAGTATATCTCTGCGATCGATTGTTTCCGATAAATTTTACGGTCGATTGTCTTCGTACTTGTTCCTACTTTATCTCAAGCTTGCGTGCTGCGGATGCTGGGTTTCGCATTATGAAGATCAATGAGGGACGCAGCTAGCCGAATTGATCGAATATCCTTGCATTTATTCGCGGAATGTGCCCGGAAATTCGCGGAGGAATCCGCGATATGCATTCGTTCTTGTTATATGCATTCTTTCATTGTGATGAATATTTTCTATTTTCCAGATTTTAACTTGAACTGTCGGGTCTGTCCGATGGTTGTTCGTAAAGTCGGCAGACAGTCGACTAATTTACATAGTCCGATATTTTCAGAAGATTAATCGACGCATATATACACAGTAGACCGTTCGTTGCACAACGACGACGACGAGTCGGTGAAAAATTCTCTCCGTTTCCGAGTTATCTGTCAAAATGGCAATTAATCAAGCGGTAATTATAAGTTCCAAGCATCTTTCGTCGGGCCGTCGTCTCGTTTGCTTAGAGAAGCACGTAGTAGTCCGTAGTTGCGGGTCGCTCGACAGGGGCGGTTAATCAATCCTGGAGCTCGTTACAGCCGAGCACTATGGTACTTGAAGTGGCGTTAACGCATCCGGAGCGCCACTAAAATGTCAGGAATTGTTAATCTACCCAGGCAAACGCATACGCGCGCTTAGCGCACGCTTGATAACACACTACCCTTCGTCCTCCCTCTTCCAGGAATGAGGGGTTACTACGAATAAACCCTTACTTTCCAGTTTCTGACCTCTTCCTCTTCGCGCGACGATCTTGCGAGCTTGCTCGACCGAGGGAAGCTTGGCGGGAGATATTCGCCGCCAAGCAGCACCAGACCGCACCATTATTACTAGCGATAAATCGCCACCTTTAATAAGAGCTCGCGCCAGACGGAAGCCAGAAACGACGACGACGACGACGACGACGACGACGACGACGACGAAAGGATGGTGAATTTAAGGGGCGAATAGGACCGAGTACACTCTATTCAAACGATATCCTCTCGATTTTACCGAGTTCTCAGTGGCGATAGCCGACACCGCGCTGTCTCTTTATTATGTGCGCCTGATGGCGCGAACGATTTAATTTTGGATATCTAACCACGCGCGCGCGCGATAAATATTTCGCATATAAAATACCTGCCGGCGTTACGAAAATTTATTACATTTACTGCAAGATAATATTGTAACGTGCCTATCTCTAACGCACTATCAACATATATACGGTATGGAGTTTTCGGTATATGATCCGTGGGATATGATACGCTGATGATTTATTGCCGTGCGTTTTGATTGACGTTGTAACAAGATAGTAAACGTATTTCACGTGGCGCCGCGTTTTAATCCTTTCTATCCCGATATCGACGTTATATGTATACGCCATTGTACCGCGTCAAGCTTTTATCCTATAATATCAACAAGCAATTAGTGACGTGTGCGCAAATATTTCTCAAATACTTAAATATACGGATAATCTGTTTAACTGTATATCGACACTAGTGAAAACATTTCTATTTGTGTAGATGTAATTTAATTATAATATATGCTAATTATTTTTACTATGTTTTATTATTTTTTATTATCAATTTGTTATTATATAATTACTGTACAATTATTCATATATCATATACAATAAGATAACAAGTAATATATATATATATATATATATATATATATATATATACATATATATATATATATATATATATATATAAAAAATAATGAACACAAAAATTCTGATAAAGCGTGGAATAAATTGTCCTTACTCGAAATTTGAAATTACATTTAGCTAACTATTAGAAATAGATCTATTTCTTTTAATAAAGTATGTATCTCTTGACGGGTAGTATTTCTATATATATGGCAATAATTTTTCTTTTGTATTTAGTGGTGCCCGATTTGTGATACAAAGTATGATCGAAATACCATGTTATTGTCACAGTATAGCTGACAGTGGAAGTATTTTACACAACATGGCAATCAGGCATCATGTAACATGTATAAGGCAGCATATACTCTTTAAAGATACGACTCAAATATAATAAAAACATCTAAAAATTAAACATCAGGATGATATTGAAATATTTTTTCATCATGATGAACACAATATTAATTTTTGATTTTATGAAAAGAGAAAATCATCACGCACCTCTGAAAAACAATGATTTATTTTTGCTTTTTTGATGTGTAACATCAAACAATTTTAACAAAATTTATAATTACTTTAATAACTATTAAATTAAATATATTATTAATATAATTAGTAATTTATAATAATGCAAGATGTCTGAAACATGAGAATTATTTAATTCGGTTTCAAGTCGCAAGGCTGTGAATTAATTTTAGAATTATAAATGTTATATATAACCAATTGTAGTTTATCTTTGCTATCGTCTAGATTTTACACGCTCTTCGATTTGTAATTTGTAATGTATCTGCATACTCATACATTTCTATACAAGTATTATAATTATTCGATTCGGATTTATGTACAACTACATAACCATTTCCATAATTTTGTTCTATTATATAAATTAATAACCAAACAGTATTAAAATTAAGAGATATTTAAACTATATCAATATTTACATGAACAAATAATAATGTGTATGTACTTCTGCGATCTTCTCCTCTTTTCTCTATCTTCGTATACTTTAACTTGGAATAATCTTTTGTATTTAGTCGTACACTATCTGTAATACGAACATCATGTCACACTCACCGAGAGCCCGGGACTGGGCATGGAAATATTACATACGACAAGATGCTGAACGTGCAAAATGCGTTATATGTAGTGCATACATTCGTATCTTTTTTCTTTCCAAAGTCAATGCAAAGAATCATTTACGCGGAAGACACAATAAAGTGTATTGCAACATTACTTCAAAAAACTCAACAGAACGTTGGGAATCACTATTTGATACATTTAAAGACGATGAAAACAGTTATATGAAGTGCCAAATTTGTGAAGGAGAGAATCGTATGATCAAACGGGAAAACCTCACAGGACATTTATATAGGGTGCACAATATAACAAAGGAAGATCACGACTTTTTGGCTACACATCTTAATCAATATATCATATTTTGGCAGATATAACCATGCACAATCTGTAAAAAAACTTTTCAAGACAGGCGTCTTTCTAATTTCAAACTGCATTTTAGCCAATGTCAGGGGAATATGATGAACCTTTAGATCTAACTTTACCGAAATAATAGAAAAAGCGGTAAATATTAAAGTTTATGTTTTTCTTCACATTACTCACATATGCGTTAACGTACAATGAATAAAATTGTGTATAATATTTAACTATTCAAATATGTAGCGTATGTATATCATAAATATAAATATTCAAGTCGGATGTGTAAAATGTGAACTGTACAAGTATTATAAGCATTAGAATCTCAGTTTTACTTAGCTAATACTATATTAAAATATGATTACTTAGCTAATTCTAAATTTAAATTTGCCAGCTATTTATTAATCTTATAGTTTGTAATTTATGATAATTTGTGA